AGAGAGGGAAAGGGAGAGGCCAGGGTTCTGTCTGAGTTTCCCGCTGGAGCAGCTGGGGAGACACCAATGCAATTTATCAGGATGCAGAGCGTTTGCAGAAGAACAAGTTTTGGGCACAGAGCTGGAAAGTAAGGTTAGTTAGAGGGAGAGAGACTTGAGAAAGAGAAACTCGTGAATAGAGAGGAAGGAGGCAATGAAAAAGGAGAAAAATGCAAGGGACAGAAGAGATCACCAACAAGAGAAAGCCCCAATGGGGAACAAAGGGAATGGTCCAGGAAAAGACAGCACCTCTGCAATGTGAGATTTGGCCGCTGTTCCTGTGAAGTTTGCTCTTCCCTAAGGGGCTCTGCATGGGAGCTCCCTTCTGCCTCCTCGCCCCCACAACCCTTTGCTGGTTGATCTCTGCTTGTTCTGCTGGTTCCTGGCTCAGAAGCCACCTACCACAACCTACCACAGTTATCAACACAGATTTTATTGCATTTACAGTAAATACTGTCGTATTCGCTGAGCCTCATTCAAATACAACCTTCAGTACACGCATCTTTTTTTTTTTTGAGACAGAGGCTCACTCTGACACCCAGGCTGGAATGCAGTGTTGAGATCTCAGCTCACTGCAACCTCTGCCTCTGGGTTCAAGCAATTCTGCTGCCTCAGTCCCTCTAAGTAGATGGGATTACAGGCATCTGCCACCATGCCCAGCTAATTGTTTTTTGTATTTTTAGTAGAGACGGGGTTTCAACATGTTGCAGCCTGATCTCGAACTCCTAACCTCAGGTGATCCACCCACCTCAGCCTCCCAAAGTGCTGGGATTACAGGTGTTAGCCACTGCTCCTGGCCTTTTTTTTTTTTTTTTAAAGAGTCTCGCTCTGTTGTCCAGGTTGGAGTGCAGTGGCATGATCTTGGCTCACTGTGACCTCTGCCTCCTGGGTTCCAAGCGATTCTCTGGTCCCAACCTCCCAAGTCCCTGGGATTATAAACATGCACCACCACACATGGCTAATTTGTGTATTTTTAGTAGAGACAGGGTTTCGCCATGTTGGCCAGGCTGGTCTCAAACTCCTGACCTCAAGTGGTCCCCACTCCTCGGCCTCCCAAAGTGTTAGGCGTGAGCCATTGTGCCCAGCCAGTACACACATCTTGATCAAAGGAGAATAAAAAAGGAAGAGTTGGGTAAACACACAGCAAGTATTAGGGAAAGGAGGGAGAGAAGCTAGAGAAACTTACACAGATCTCAGTACATACAGGAGAGTTGACCCAAGGTCATTAGAGTCCACTGATAGTGGTGCTGGGAACTTAAAAGACACCAACAGGTTGGAATCAGGGCTGTGGGACAGGTGAGGGGGGCAGGTGGGGAGGACCACTAACCCCTGCTCACTCAGGCCCACCCCCACTGCAAAACTGTAATAGAAACAACCAGCTCTGTTCAGTACTTCCCCCAGGAGTGAAAATCAGTCAGACTAGATGAAGAGATTAGATTGCTCACTGTGCCATACCCATTAAGGCAGGAGAGGAGACTCTTATCTTAAAAAGCTTTTCCTCTCTCTACCCAATAAGGGTTTTCTAGCTAATGATTTTCAGTAAAACAGAGTATCTGATCAATCAGAATGCCCCATTCCCCGGGTTTCTCACTAACTGTGATTCTGTAGCTTTTCACAAAGCCTTTGGAAACTTTTTTTTTTTTTTTGAGACAGAGTTTCTGGACTAGTGTGATATATTCTAGGAAGAAAAAAGAAAAAGAAAAAAGAGTCTGGGTGTGGTGGCTCATGCCTATAATCCAAGCACTTTGGAGGCCAAGACGGGCGGATCATCTTGGTCAGGAGTTCAAGACCAGACTGACCAACTTGGTGAAACCTGTCTTAAAAAAAAAAGAAAAGAAAAAAGAAAGAGACAGAGTTTCACTCATGTTGCTGAGGATGGAGTGCAATGGCAAGATCTCGGCTCACCACAACCTCCACCTCCCGGGTTCAAGTGATTCTCCTGCCTCAGCCTCCCTAGTAACTGGGATTCCAGGCATTTGCCACCACACCCAGCTAATTTTGCATTTTTAGTAGAGATGATGTTTCTCTCTGTTGGTTAGGCTTGTCTCAAACTCCCAATGTCAGGTGATCCGCCTGCCTAGGCCTCCCAAAGTGCTGGGATTATAGGCATGAGCCACCATGCCCAGCTGCCTTTGGGAACTTTTAAATGACCAATATTGCAGACATATATGCAATTCTGGAACTGGTATTAAAAAGCATACTTACAGCTTGTGTGGTGGCTCATGTCTGTAATCCCAGTACTTTGGGAGGCCGAGGCATGTGGATCACTTGAGGCCAGGAGTTTGAGACCAGTCTAACTCACATGGTGAAACTCTGTCTCTCCTAAAAATATAAAAATTAGCCCAGCCTGGTGTCCGGCACCTGTAGTCCCAGCTACTTGGGAGGAGGAGGTATGAGAATCACTTGAACACAGGAGGCAGAAGTTACAGTGAGCTGAGATTACACCGTTGCCCTCCAGCCTGGGCAACAGAGAGTCTGTCTCAAAAAAAAAAAAAAGAAAGAAAGAAAGCAAAGAAAAGCATACATAACAGAAGAAATCCATATGGTGTCTGCAGTGTGCTTCAGAATAATGGAGGCGGGCATGAGGTCTCAGAAGAAAACAAAACTGGCCCTGAGTTGACAGTTGCTAAGTGGATGATGGGCGTTCTTGATGAGATGAGGGTTCATCACACTGTTCTCCACTTCTGTGTGCACTGGAGATTTTCTGAACCCAAAAGGTAAAAAGTGTATTCATTAAGCTCCAGGATAAATTCAATCATACCACCCTATACAAATCTAATTTCAGATCTTGACCAAAAATAAGGGAAACCATGTTCTGCAGAAGCAAGTCCGTATCAAGATGAAATGCTTTTCATGCCATTTAGAGATTAGTCTTATATCTACAATTACTCAAGTTGAAGTTTTGAAATTACCTATGTAGTCTTCAGAGTCAACACCCTCTGACCCCCCTTCCTCCCCAGCCCTGCCAGTGCCCAGGGCGGTGGACAGAGGCAGCTGGAGCGGGGTGGGCGCAGCGAGGGTTCATCCACAGGCTATCTGGATGTCTGCTCCTGCCAGGTCTGTGTGAGGTACGGCACCAGGCCCTCGTCCTGGGGGCTCAGAATCTGGTGGGGAAGAGAAACTGTGTAATCACAACATGATCGGTGTCCTGGGAGCCACTCCGACGCCGGACTCTGTGTGTGTGCCTGCCTGAGCGTGGGGAGGGAATATGAAGGCTGCTTTCTGAGGATCTGATGTTTAAGGAAGAACCTGAAGGGAAAGAGTAGAGATGGGGAAGGGCTTGGGCAGAGGAGACAGGCCCTGGGAAAACTGTAAAGGGCAAAACCAAACCAAACCTGGTGTGTTCAGAAAGTGAAAAACAGCCAAGAAAGCAGGGGAGGGGTCTCCATGAGGGCCTGGGCCTTTATCTGGAAAGTGCTGGAAAAATTGAAGAGCAACCTGGCTAGACTTGGGCTTTTGAAAGTTCATGCCATGGATGTGGAGGATGGATGAGGCCACTGCCTGAGCTGCTTGGGCAATGACATGACTTGGATGGAGGTGATGGCAGTGGGGATGGAGAAAAGTGGGCGACGTGTTTAGAAGAAACTGAGAAGAGAAACTCGGCAGGACTTGGTATTGGGAGGGAGAGGAAGGGCCTCGGGGATAATTCTCTGGATTTGGGCTTGGGGAATTGGGGATGGAGAGGCCCCTTACAGGATGGAAAAGCCTGTTAACAGGCTCTACCCGTGTGGCCTTGCTACCTCGGACGTGACTCTGGTTTGCCTGTAAATGCAATAAACCATGCCACCACCTTGAGAACCGTTCAGGGCCATATACACCCCTGCAGCAGCCCAGAGTGTATGCCTGAGCTCGGCCCAGCGCACAGAGGAATGGCACTCCATCCTTCTCCTGTCCCTGTTTCTCCCTCCCCCACCCACCCAATCTCTGCTTTCTCCTCCAGTCATGCCTCTACCGTCTTTTAGAAATCCCAGGTAAGTATGGAGCGGCATTCAAAACATGAACACAGACCCCTGTTGCTGAGCTCAGTGGAAACTTGAGTTCCTTCCAGCCCAAAGGAGCCTGTGAGGCACTCACCTTTCCCTCTAGGACCCCCGGTTCTCAAGGCCCAGGCTTGCTTTGAGTCATGGAGACTTGTCCTCAGGGGAGGCATGGGGGTTTGATTAGACAAGAGCCTGTGCATCAACCCACGGCATTCTACATTGAGTTCCAGATCCTGGCAGTCATCCCGTGAAGCAACCCCACGGCTCTGTGCGGGCTGGCTCTTCTCACTGGGTCACCCTGTCCAAGCACAAGGAGCCAGTGGGTGGGTGCGGGGCCCAGGAAAATGGCAGAGAAAAAGCTTCTACATTAAACAGAGATGAGCCAAACCTTCTTGGTACCTGAACAAAGGGACATTTCTAAATGGTCAGCTTTCTAGTCTTTCCCATCTCTGGTGTGGGGTCAGTAACAAGCAGGGGGACAACAGTGCGCGGAGGCACCACTGTTTCTGAAGCCTTTGCAGAGCTGGGCCAGTGCCCCCTGTGCTCCTGAACACTCAGACACACGTGACCTCACGTGAAACTGTCAAGCATGCAGGGCTGATGCTGTCTGCCCAAATCCTGGATGAGGAAACAGGAAGTTTATAGGGGCACCAGTGAGCTCTGTCCACCTGGGTATGGCCTGGAGCAGTGGCCTGACTCATCAGCCCCTGCTGAGGCCACAGGGAGAACCCACCACACTGGGCCTTTCTTATCAGCCTTTTCGGGAAGGCCTGTCTTTAAGACCAGCGACTTTCCGGACACACCTCCAGAATTGCTCTCCCACCCTGGGTCTCTTCCTCACCCGGATGCCTCCATTCCGGGCCGATGACCCTCCCGAAGTTAGGAGTGTGCTAGCCAAGGGCATCGCTGTGCTCAGTTCTCTTCATTTTCCCATCTCTTCCATAGCTCAACAGGATAGCATTTAAGGCCACACATCACAGCTTTTCAAAAAAATAAGGTTTCTTTATTGTCTTGGATGCAAATATAGTTTTAAAAATGCATTGTAGTGTTAAATTCAGCTGGTGGAAACGTGCTTCTCGACAGCAGAGCGTCAGAGGGGCGTGCTCGAGGTGGCGTGGGCCGGGGGCCTCTGGCCAAACCAGACTCTTTTCTGGGTTTCTTCTTCAGTCCACGAGGTGTCATCATCTCCTCAAAGGAACCCGGCCATGATCACCAAAGCTCACACAAGAAAAAAACGCCATTTACACAAGAAACCGAAAGTGAAAAAGGACCAGAACATGGTGTTTCTGCTGTGAACAGAACAGCAAGTGAACCCGCTCCCCTTTCCCGGGCTGTGGGAAAAGATTCAGCTAGAGAAGCAGGGGCACTATGGGAGGCCTGTGGGGGACGGCCTGGAGCTGCAGGGCCCTGGCTGAGCCCTTCCTGCCTTTTTAACTGCAGGATGTAAACTCTATAGAAATGTACAGAACTTCAGTTTCTCCCAACCCTCCACAATCTCAACTCTTGAGACCACCAAATACCTGTTAGGAAACGCAGAAGAGGTGCGTTCAAATGAGCTACACCCAGGTTCAGAGCACAGAACCAACAGTGTGACTGGGACAAGGAGGTGAATTCTGCTACACGATTGAAGAGGATTTCACACAAAATTCCATGAAGTAAACACGCAACGCCAGCTTGTGCAAGGGCCCTCCCATGCACACACACATGCACACACACACAGTCAACATTCAATGTTAAGAGTTCCCTTTTCTTAACGGTTTTTGTGAACCCCGACAAGCAGAGTCCCATGTGGTGGTGGGGGCAGAGGGGGCTGGCCCTGGTAGAGGCATGGAGGTGGGGGTGGTCCTAAAGCACTTCCTCAGTATTCCTGGAGCCTCTGCCAAGCTTCCCACCTGCCCCGTGTGTGTCCCTCACATCACGAAAACCTGTCCAGCCGCCCAAGGCCATGGCACCCACCGAATGCCACAAACATGGTGCTGAGCCTCAAAACTCTTCAGCCTCCTTCCTTGCTGTCCCCTCTCCCCCGACAGGTGTGCAGACGTGGTAAAATCCTCTAAAGTAGAGATGTCAAGGGCCCGGAGACACATGCCACATCCCCATGCCAGACTACTTTGGCACCCTGGCACCACTGCACATGCTGCCTGCCTGGATCACTGCTGCCCAGCCCTCTCCCTCCTCCCTAAGGAAACGCTGGGGAGCAGGTATAGAGGTAAAAGGCCACTTTCCCACCAAAGGGAAAACAGGCTCAACTCATACCCAGGCTGCCTGCTAGGAGGCCTCAGATGGACCAGGCAGGGGCCAGACAAGGGAAAGGGACAGCTGAGGGTGAACAGGGGTGCTTCAAGCCTGCCGTCAGAGCCAGGGTAAAAAAAAGCTGGGCCAAAGCAAGGTCTGCCAGCGCAGGGCCAGGCCCACAGCACCCCAATCCCCCCACATACAGGGGTCCACTGGCCCGGGGCAGGCCCAGCTCCACTCCACAAGTTCTGAGAGTATAAAGTCTTGTCCAGATGATACCAAGACCTCACCAGCTCCTGGCTGTAGCTCCCACCTCTGAGAGCATTACCTGCGCCCCAGCTGCTGGCGGGGCCAGTCACAGTTGTGCACGGAGATGGTGTGGGTGTTTGAGACCCCCCTCCAGCAACAGACAGTAGTGCTGCATGCCACCGTGCTACTTTATCTGGGCAGGGACTAGGGGTCTGGCACCACCCTGGGATTTTGGGTGCCGTGCCCTCTAAGAATCCAAATTTACATCCTCCTAGCCAGCAGACAAACCTTAGGACTGACTTCTAGAAAAGGGAGTGTAGTCAGGGCCTACGGGTGGGAAATGGGAGGGCTGGCTGACAGCTCCAGGACCATGCACAGCACCAGGGGGTCTGCGGCTTTCCAGCCCCTTCCCCTCCACCAGACCCAATGCTGTCATCAGCACCAACAGCCAGAGCTGCCACTGCTTCCTGCTGAAGGAAGCCAGCCCGCTCGGGGTGTCAGCTGCTGCATGGCCTGATGGCTGACTCCCAGAAAGGCCCTCGGTGGCGCCTGCCCTGCCCTGGGGTCTCCTACCACCACAGAAAGCAGTAGGTGCGGCGCACGGGGATTTCCCAGAAACTGGCACGAGGACTTGTACACCGGCAGTTCTTCTGGCTGTTCTTTTTGGACTTTGTATTTTCTTTTTTTTGAGACAGGGGTTCGCGCTCTATTTCCCAGGCTTGAGTGCAGTGGTACAATCTCGGCTCACTGCAACATCTGCCTCCCAGGTTCAGGCGATTCTCTTGTCTCCTGAGTACCTGGATTACAGGAGTGCACCACCAAGCCCAACTAGTTTTTTTGTATTTTTAATAGAGACAGGGTTTCACCATGTTGGTCAGGCTGGTTGTGAACTGACTTCAGGTGATCCACCTGCCTCGGCCTCCCAAAGTGCTGGAATTACAGGCATGAGCCACCCACCTGGCCTGTATTTTTAAAGGCAGGGTTTTACTCTGTCGCCCACGCTAGAATGCAGTGTGGCATGTTCATAGCTCACTGCAACTTCTAGGCCCAAGCAATCCTCCAGCCTCAGCCCCCCAAGTAGCTGGGACCACAGGTGCTCACTGCCACATCCGGCTAAATGTTTTTTGTTTTGTTTTTTTGTAGAGACAGGGTCTCGTGTTGCCAGGGCTAAGTCTCCAACTCCTGAGCTCAAGTCATCCTCCAGCCTCAGTCTCACAAAGTGCTGGGATCACAGGCAGGAGCCACCATGCAGGGCCCAGGTTGATTTTCTTTCTCTCTAAAGCGTCAGCATTGTGAAGTTTCTTTTACGGAAGTGGGGACAAGAGTCAGGGTGAAGTGAGTGTAAACAAAGCCCACTCTGCGGTCAGCATCCACTGGAGGCGGCCAGCAGAGTGGCCTCAGATGTCCCTGTGCCTGGCCCAGGAGCCCAGGACAGAGGTCAAATCTAGGGTCCTTGGTCTGGCTGGATTCATCAGGCAAGATTCCAAAACAAGAAAACCTCTAGAATAAGCAACAATCATGTCTGCGGCAGAGATATGGCACTGTGGCCCTATGGCCATGGCAATCGTGAGCACCAAAAGAATGAGTTACAGAAATGTCTCCTAGCATCTACTAGACAGTCGCTAGGATGGACGGATGGATGGATGGACACACACACACACACACACCCCCTTCAAGGCTCACACAACCTAACAGCCTTAAATATCTGAAGGAACAGAATCACATTAAGTCAGCAGAGGGAGAGGTAGGCCGAAGCAGCAGGAGGCCAATTTTATATCCCATGGAGTTTTAAAAAATGAATCCCCAGCAAGGCGTGGGGAGAAAGCCACTGATTTAGGAAGAGTTCTTGGCTCAGCCAACCACCGCATTATCTACACGTTTTACAAAGGCACGAAGTGGAGAGGGGCTGCACTCACCACCCTCCCCAGGGCCTGCACAGCTGGCCACGTTGGGTTCTTCCTTTTTCCCTTCTGGCCTTGGTGGAATTCCTATCATGGTGGTCTCTGCCTTTGGGATGATGCTGTCCTGCTTATCCCTAGGTAAAGGATGGAGTCTATTAGCATTTCCCAGGGGAAATTCCAAGGACCAGCCTGGCCTCATCTTACGTTCACCCCATGGGAGTGTGATCTGGAAAGCCTTTAAACACGCACTCTGGGTGGCTTAGTGGTGTCACCAAGCTGCTCTTGTGTGGGGCTGAAACACAAGGGGGCAGGCAGCTGGCCGGTGGCCTACAGTGGAGGGAGAACCCCCGCAGGCCTGCAGGAGCCAGGGAGAGCCTCCAACTGGATCTAAACTTTGGGGGCAGCCCAGGGGTGCCCCTCTTCACATGGCTCCCAGGCTCCCTCAAAGCCTTCCCCAGGCCCTGCAGGCAGGGAGGGCAGAGGTCGCCTGGAAAGCCTGCTGGCAGCTCAGAACTCCTCAGCAGGGCTTTAAAGCACGTTCTTCGAGGAGTTACTCTTGGCTGGGCTTCCTGAGTGCTAGAGAGAGTGCCTGCCCTTGCAGAGGTAACCAGAGAAAGGCGAGGATTGAGGCTGAGCCAGCCTGTGGCTATGGACTCAGAATGGCCCTTAGCCCAGCCATGCCTCCACCCAGCCCAGATCTGCGTAGATTCTTTGCTGTCTGATCTGAGAGATGCCTAGAGACAGCTGAGGGCTGATGACCGCAGACTGCTGCCCGCCAACATTGTTTCCTTCTCCAAACACAAGACAGGACAGACTTTCGAGTGTGGGGCATCTTTGGTCCGACAACTGTCTTGGTTTGGGGCTCCCCGCTGAACGATATCAGACAAGATGACAAGGCTGACAGCAGGAGGTGGAGTCTGATCTTTTGGATGCTAGAACTTCAGGGTTCTAAGCTCCTACTGGACACACCTGACCTGTCCACAGCTGTAGCTGGAGGTGTGTGGAGAAGAAGGGCAGAAGGGCCACGGTGGTGAGGTGACATCCAAGAAGGCCCTGTGGAGCTCTAAGAGGACAGATGAAACATGCCCAGCAGGGCCTCCCAGCCAGAGCAGCCACTGTGCATCGTATGCTTCCATTCTGGTCCTGTGTGTCCCGCATCCATTGTTTTTGCAAATGTGTGTCCTCGGGGGTCTCTGAAGAAGGCACTTCCCCCGGCAGCCTGCCATGCATAAGCCTGAATAGAAGCCCAAGTCCATCCACAAGGGCTGGGCGCTGTCAGAGTTGAGGGGAGAAAGAAAGACACCTTCTAACTGCCCCATGGGCAGGCCAGAGAGTAGAGCAGGACATCAGAGGCATGCGCGTGGACAGGCATGGCAGAAGGGACGAGGCTGGGTCTCAGGACAGGAGCAGGCCCTGTCACCCTCAACCTAAGGGTTCCACTCACCGGCACTCGGCCTGGCAGGCCACCAGGAGGGCAGACCAGCACGGCCAGCAACTTCCCTTTTGTCTGCCCCAAGGGCAGTGGAGGTTGGTAACTGAGGTCACTGAGTAAGAGAGTTCACAGCAAGGGGGTCCCAAAGGTGGGCTATTGCTGTCAGCAGGCCCCGAACCTGCTTCAGACCTGAGCAAGGCCTCCCGACAGTGCGGTGGGCCAGCAGAGTTGGTGGGAGGCACCGAGGCTGAACGTCAGGAAGGGCTGGGGGGTGGGGGGGCGCAGCCTCCTCTCCATGGGCAGGGAAGGGTCTCCTGGCATCTCACATGGCCACATGCCAGCTAAGCAGCTAAGACTCCCCCAGTCTCTTGCCAATCCTGGTGATAGCCTCAGACGCCTGCTCTGGCAGCTGTGCCGGGTCTGTGAGGATGGAGGTGGAGGTGCTCAGCTGCCGCAGCGTGTTCAGCACCACTGAAAGACAGAGAGGGTCAGACACAGGTGGGACACAGACCACCACACACTGCACGCCTAGCTTTGGACCTATAACCCACGTGAAAATGCTCAGGCACTGGTGAGCGGCAGCCACACTGGACTGCACGGAGGAGTGCCAGGGGCCTTCTCCAAGACCTGGGCACTCACCCCTCTGCCTCCAGCAGCCTCCCCAAATCTGAGCAGGAGCTGCCGTGGGCGGAATATCCCATGCTGCTTCTGCTGCACTGGGCTGCCAGCTGTTCTGATGTTAAGCATCTATAACCTTAACATATGGGATCATCTTTGCTTGTTATCAGAATTAAGTAAGAAAACACATCTGAAGGCACCTGATACAGGGCCTGGCAAATAGTGGGCACTTGATCCATGCAAGCTGGGTCTGAGCAGGCTGGCAGAACATGAAGACAGGAGCCTGGTGCCCACTCCTGCCCCCATTGGGGGCTCCTGAGGGCCTCCTGGATGGCATTGTGCCCTGGCCCCACCTGGCTGCCCGAAGTGGAGTCTGGATTTCCCCCAACACTGTCTTCAGCCCGGGGTTATCCTCCCTCCAGGACTAGCATGAAGTCCCCCTGCCCTGGCACCGCTCCACTCACTCGGCCTGAGGATGGGCAGGGAGCAGTGCTGGTCCAGCCAGGACAGCGCCGTGCGGTGCAGCTCCTCCAGGCTGCTGGTGGACACCATGCCCTTGAACGACTCGAACAGCGGCTTGATGATGATGCTGAACTGCAGCTGTGGTTAAAGAAAAGGCAGGCACAGAGGAGGGCTGGGGATGTGGACCCAAAGGTGGCTGGGCTGGCCTACTCATTTCCCCTGGGACTAGTAAGTACCTGTACACAGAGAATGGATCACTGGGAAAAACAGGGAGAGACCTCTAGGCAAGGAGTGTCTTCTACTTCATGAAAACACTCTGCTTTAACTGTACCTGGACAACAGAGCCAAGCCCCAAGCAGGCAGGAGGCAGGGACACAGAGGTCTCTAGTATGGAACAGGTCCCAACACAAACATGTGACCAAAATCGTTCTTACATACATTGGTAGGAACATCAGAGGCGCAGAGCAGGGGAAGGACAGAAGCTGGCTGAGCAAGATGGTTCACACCTATAATCCTAGCACTTTGAGAGGCCAAGGCAGGTGGATCATTTGAGGTCAGGAGTTCGAGACCAGCCTTGCCAACATGGTGAAACCCCGTCTCTATTAAAAATACAAAAATTAGCTGGATGTGGTGCCGGGCACTTGTAATCCCAGCTACTCAGGAAGCTGAGGCAAGAGAATCGGTTGAACCCAGGAGGCTGAGGTTGCAGTGAGCTGAGATTGTACCACTGCACTCTAGCCTAGGCAACAGAGCAAGACTCTGTCTCAAAAAAAAAAAGAGGGGAACGATCCAAGATGGCCGATCACTAACATCCCGGGATTGCAGCGCTCAGTGAAGGCGCGGAGAACTAGAGGACGCCACACTTTCAGACAAATTCTGGTCGCTCACGGAGCAGAAGATCCCCCAGTGGAGGAAACACACGGGTCGCCAGCGTGACTCTCGTGGCCGGCGCAGCAGTTCCGCCGGCACCTCGGCGCAGCAGCTCTCGGAGCAGAGTAAACAGGTTTGGAAGGGCCCCCAGCACGACACCAGAGCCCGACGCAGCGGCTGTGACGGCACCTCAGCGCGGCAGCGCTCAGCGCAGAATAAACGGGACCGGTTCCCCTTCTGACCGAGGTTTGGAGCCCTGGGAAGGCAGAGTCGCCTACTACGGACACAAGAAGGAAGCCAGACAGGAGAATCCTGGGCAGAAAAGCACCATCAGTTTTAATGCGCTGCTCTGGCCCTGGGAACTAACAACCTGGACGCCCACTCAAGAGACCTAATCTGAAAGTTGGTAATTTCAAAGACGACAGGAGGATAAATTCACAATGACGGGAAGAAACCAGAGTAAAAAAGCTGAGAATACTCAAAGTCAGAACGCCTCTCCCTCTAAAGATGATCACAGTTCCACATCAACAATGGAACAAGGCTTGATGGAGAACAAGCGCATCCCAATGACAGAATCACGCTTCAGGGAATGGATAATAACAAACTTGCGTGAGTTAAAAGAACATGTTGTAGCCCAACGTAAAGAAACTAGGAACTTTGAAAAAAGGTTTGATGAAATCCTATTGAGAATAGACAACTTAGAGAGGAGGATGAGTGAATTAATGGAACTGAAGAATACAATACAGGAACTCCGAGAAGTATGCACAGGTTTAAACCCTCAAATTGTTCAAGCAGAAGTAGGGATATCAGAGGTCAAAGTCCAACTTAATGAAATAAAACGTGAAGAAAAGATTAGAGAAAAAAGGATAAAAAGGAATAAGCAAAGTCTCTAAGAAATGTGGGACTATGTGAAAAGACCAAATTTACGTTTGATAGGTGTACCGGAATGAGACGGAGAGAATGAATCCAAACTGGAAAATACCCTTCAAGATACTATTCAGGAAAATTTTCCTAAACTAGCGAAGCAGGTCAATATTCAACCCCAGGTAATACAGAGAACACCACAAAGATATTCCTCAAAAAGAGCAACCCCAAGGCACATAATCGTTAGATTCACCAGGGTTGAAACGAAGGAGAAAATACTAAGGGCAGCCGGAGAGAAAGGTCAGGTTACCCACAAAGGCAAGCCTATCAGACTTACAGCAGATCTCTCAGCAGAAACTCTACAAGCCAGAAGAGAGTGGGGGCCAATATTCAACATCCTCAAAGAACAGAACCTTCAGCCCAGAATTTCATATCCAGCCAAACTAAGCTTCACAACTGAAGGAAAAATAAAATCTTTTATGAACAAGCAAGAACTCAGAGATTTTATTACCACCAGGCCTGCTTTGCAAGAGCTTCTGAAAGAAGCATTACACACAGAAAGAAACAACCAGTATTAGCCTTACTAAAAATATACCAAAAAGTAAAGAGCACCAACATAAAGAAGAATTTACACCAACGAATGGATAAAACAGCCAGTCAACATCAAATGGCAGTAACCCTAAATTTAAATCGACTAAATCCCCCAATCAAAAGACACAGCCAAAACCCAACGGCATGTTACATCCAGACCTGTTTCACATGCAAGGATACACAAAGGCTCAAAGCAAAGAGATGGAGAAAGATTTACCAACCAAATGGAGAGCAAAAATAAATAAATAAATAAATAAATAAATAAATAAAAAGCAGGAGTTGCAATTCTCGTATCAAATAAAATAGATTTTAAAGCAACAAAGATATAGTGGTAAAAGGATCAATGCAACAACAAGAGCTAACGATCCTAACACCCAGATACATAAAGACTTAGACTCAATGAGACAGAAAATTAATAAGGATATCAAGGACTCGAACTCAGATCCGGAACAAGTAAACTTAATAAATATTTATAGAGCTCCCCACTTCAAATACACAAAATATACATTCTTGTCAATACCACATCACACCTACTCATAAGTTTAAATGAAACATTGATTGGCCATTATTAATACCCAATTTTTTTCAGAATAAAGCAGTATTTCCGTTTACTCTCCCTCTTTCTTCCTTTCCTTTACTTATTATTTTTTTTTTCTTTCCTTCTCTCAAAAAAAAAGAAATCAACTTGTAAACCTCTAGATCCAGGTCGGCAATGTCTCTCTCATTGCTTGATTTCCTTCCTTCTTTTCCCTTCCTTCCTTCTTTTCCCTCCCTCCCTCCCGCCACCCTTCTTCCCTTCCTTCCTTCCTTCCTCCCTACCGTCCTCCTTCCCTCCCTAAAAAAAAAAATAAAAAGGCAGGAGCCGTCTGCCTGAAGGTGGTGTTTGCCTTCTGTGTTAAACGCAAAGGTATGTGTGTGGGTCTCCTAGACCAGCTTAGTGAAGGTCCAAGGCCTGTTTCCTCTGGGACTTCGATCAGGAAGGTGCCCAGTTCCCCCACCTCGGCCCGATGATGGGGAGTGTGCCATTTTATCAAAGAGGCTCCGATTCATTCCAGACACCGTCCAGCCCTATGAATGACAGGGATAAGGCGCGCAGTAAAATAGCAACACAGGGAAACTAGAGCTGGTGCCTGTCATCTCTTCATTTAAAAACTGCCTCTTATAGCCAGGCACAGTGGCTCACACCTATAATCCCAGCACTTTGGGAAACCAAGGTGGGTGGATCACCTGAGGTCAGGTGTTTGAAGCCAGCCTGGCCAACGTGGTAAAACCCTGTCTCCACTAAAAACACAAAAATTAGCCAGGCATGGTGGCAGATACCTGTAGTCCCAGCTACTTGGGAGGCTGAGGCAGGAGAATTACTTCAACCTGGGAGGTGAAGATTGCAGTGAGCGGAAATCATGCCACTACACTCCAGCCTGGGTGATAGTGATACTCCGTATCAAATAAAAAAGGAGAAAGAAAATAAAACTGCCCTTTAGAGCCTAGGCAACATGCTGAAGCCCCGTCTCAACACAAAAATACAAAAATTAGCTGGGCATGGTGGCATGAACTTGGAGTTCCAGCTACTCAGGAGGCTGAGGCAGAAGGATGACCTGAATCTGGGAAGGTGGAGGCTGCAGAGAGCCATGACTGCATCACTGCACTCCAGCCTGGGCGACAGAGTGAGACCCTTTCTCGGGGGGGGAGGGGGAAGAAACAAACAATAAAAACCTGCCCCTTCCAGCATACACAGGTGCCCTGCCCTGTTTGGCAGCTGCAACTGGGATTCTCTCCTCCTGCACGACTGTCTCCTCTGTCAGACCCATGCCCCAGTGTCACGTCTAACTCAACTCATGTGCTGACTGTTTACTCTGTGGTAGAGCAGTGGCAGGGTGGGGAGTGACCAGGCAGGAACCCCTCCCCGTGAGAGCCAAGCTGACACCTGGAAGGCCGAGTGCAGGGTGGCCTTGGCCCGAAACAGCTTCTAGCACTGAAGTGGACGTGCTCCATTAGGCTTCAAATTGGGCTCTGCCACTTGCCCTCCCGGTGGCTTCAAGGACCAAGCTGGCTGCCAGGCTGCGGGACCACGCCTCCTTCCCCTGCACCTTCTGTAAGTAGCTCTAGCATTCTCCTGATTTCTTAAGGACCTAGAGAGCAAAGCCTACCGTTCTACCTCCCTAGCCTTTCCTGCAAAGCACCGTGAAGCCCCATCAACAGCCATAGCCCACACAGCAGGCCAGACCACTCTCTTCTGAGATGGACACTAGCACTGCCTGTCATGAGGAGCTTGGTGACAGCCATTTAAAGAGTCTTTCTAGAGTAACTACAGTGTCATGGTCTGTGGCTTCAGTGCATTGGCTGAGGGCTAGGAAGAGCAAAAAGAAAACCCAAAGATACAATCCAGAACTTCCAATTCTGCAGGGTCCGGTTTTTCACGTATTCATCAAACATGTCTCTCATGTGATCGAACTGGCGCCGGGTGACAGGGACTCCCGTGGCAGGGAGCAGCTGCTGGCAGGAGCTGAAATGACAGGAGCAGGGGGAGCTGTGGAGCAGCCAGTGGCCCATAAGGACCCTGGGACACGAGATGGGCAGGGCTGGCCAAGAGCTGGGCCACAGCCAGGTGCAGAGAAGAGAGGTCTGTGGAAGGAGGGTGACCAAGAGCGGAACTAATGTAGTAAAGAGGCATCGACCAGTGATGAGGCCTCAGGGTCCCACCTCTGAGACAGGCTTGCATGGGGATGGGGTGCCTGGTTGGAGCCCCAAGGCTCAGAAGCTCACATGATAGTGGCATTGAGCTCCTCGATCTCCTCCCGCAGCCGCCGGGCCTCCTCCTGCATCTGGCCCCTCTCCTGCTGCAGCTTAGTGATGTACTCCACGGTCTTCTGCAGCGTGATGGCATGGCTGGTCTGCAGAAGGGGCAGGTGGCTGGAGGCGGTGCCCACAACCAGCAGGCCTGCCACCAGCAATGACCATGCAGGGAGCACATCCTGCCAGCTCCCCTGCCCTGCCACAGCCCATGCTCTTGGCAACTCACCAGCTTGGAATTGTTGGAGATGAGGCTGTTGAGTGTGTCGAAGCCCATCTTAATGTTGAAGCGCCTTTTCTGCTCAGCTGAGATGTGTTTCATCTGCCGGTTCTGCTGGAGAACGCACTGGTCACTGAGACATGCATGCTGCAGGCACAATGCCCACACCCGCTATGCTGATGGTGGGTGCCTAAGGGCCAAGGCTAGAGGGCTATGTGGGAGGAGGGCATGACAAGAAGCTGTAGGCTCCAATGAGGAGCTGGGAGGGGACAGGACTAGGAACCCTAGAAAACCAGCACTGCAAAATGGGGTGCAGCCAGGGCAGGAAACCACGGGCTGAACTGGGTGCTGCCCAGCCTGCCGTAAGCCTCTCCTTCCCTACCCAGTCCCGCTTCCTCCCCCCAACCCAGCCCTGGTGCCCTGGCCTCTCCGGGGCCGGGCAGCCTGAGTGGCACCTGCCACACTAGGTGGACTCACTGTTGGCTCCGGGGTTTGGCGCCTACCCAGAAGCCTCCAGTGGGCCCACCGTCCCCACAGGCTGGTTCATGGGAAGGGACAAGGAGAAGTCTATTTCTGATCCACCCCTGCCTGGGGCAGCTCTGGCTGGGTCTAGGTCTAAGTTCCAGACAGACACAGCTTAACATCCTTCTGCCCTTCCCTCCCATCCTCCCAAGGGAACCAAGACCCGAGAGAGACATTCGGTACCTTTAATGCAGCCAGGTTTTTGGGGTCAGATTTCCCTGAGCAGTTGTTCTGGGGAGACTGAGGGCTGGGGCTCTGCTCTGATGCGCACGGAGAGGCCTGCCCTGAGTTTGGGCAGTCCCGACCTGGTAAGAACAGTCTCCTCTGAGGGATGGAGCTCTGGTCCCCCAAAGCCACCAGAAGGCAGCCTGGGGTCTCTGCAGGGTTATGAGGTGCTTGCTGCTACCCACGTATGGCACTTGGTTCTTTAAACTGTGCACACATGCTTCCTTGGATTTTTCTTACCTATTCCCTGAAAATTTTAACTTAATAACAACAACAAAAACACCCTTAACCCACACAGAACACAATGGAGCAACCCTGAGTGACATGCTCCAGTCACTGGTGTCACTTTAGGAGGTATTTCCCAGGTGGGCTCTTTATTATTATATTTTTTAATTTAAAAACTTTTTTTTTGAGATGGAGTTTCGCTCCTGTGGCCCAGGCTTCAGTGCAATGGTGACATCTTGGCTCACCGCAACCTCCGCCTCCTGCCTCAGCCTCCTCAGCAGCTGGGATTACAGGAATGCACCACCATGCCCGGCTAATTCTGTATTTTTAGTAGAGATGGGTTGGTCAGTCTGGTCTTGAACTCCCAATGTCAGGTGATCCACCCACCTCAGACTCCCAAAGTGCTGGGATTACAGGCATGAGCCACCACACCAGGCCACAAAAACATTTTTTATAGAGACAAGTTCTCACTATATTGTCCAGGCTGGTCTCAATCTCCTGGGCTCAAGTGATTCACCTGCCTCAGCCTCCCAAAGTGCTGGGATTACAAGAGTGAGTCACTGTGCCCAGCCCAGGTGGACTCAGCCTTCTTGGCCCATGCTGCTTTACTGTACAGATGCCTCCACTTCCTTTCCTCTGCGCTGGATCATCTTCCCCCAGCTCCCCGTGAGACTGTGCAGCAGGCTCTAAGTTCTGTGTTCTGAGACTCCAGAGACAAAGTGATGTTGGCTCTAACCTCTCCCTCAATTATTTGAGGGGCTTGACTCATAACTTTCCTTCCTCATTTGTGTCTTGCTGACGGAGGAGGGAGACAACTGGTGCTCACAGAGTTCCGGGAGCAGCTACACCATGCTTTTGTTTTTTTTGAGAGACTCTTACTCTGTCACCCAGGCTGGAGTGCAGTGGCTTGATCTTGGCTCACTTCAACCTCCACCTCCCGGGTTCAACTGATTCTCCCACCTCTGTCTCCTGAGTAGCTGGGACTATAGGCACATGCCACCAAACCTGGCTTTTTTTTTTTTTTTTTGGGCAGGGATGAGGTTTCACCATGTTGGCCAGGCTGGTCTCAAACTCCTGACCTCAAGTGATCCACCCATCTCAGTCTCCCAAAGTGTTGGGCGTACAAATGTGAGCCACTGCCCCCGACCCACATCATGCTTTTATTTAAGAAAAGGGGACATTTCTATTTCTCTTCCTGGCGTGGCAGGCATTTGAGGGAAGGGGCCCCATCTGCCTGCATCCCCTACCAGCAGCACAGCCTTGGGCAAGCCGTTCATCCCTGACCTGGCCTGTTGGCTTCTCAGATGTCCCTGGGCAAAATCAGTTCTGCCCTGACTGTCTCACCCTTGGAAGGCCCAAGAGTGAACATGGGGCACAGACCTGCTGGGGAAGGCCACGTTGGTGCCCAGATAAGGCCGGGCGGCTTCTGTGGCCACAGCAACCCCAGGCTGACATTCCCAGAGACTGGAACACCAGGGTCCCTCAATCCCTTCAATGGGTAAGAATGGCAGCTTAGAGTCAGGCCTTTGAGGGTGGTCAGCAGGGACTCCCAAGCACACCGGCCACCTACACTGCCACATGCCCACTACTTTTCACCCTGCCAGTGCCACCACAGGTCATCCTGCCATCCACAGAGCGTGTTCCAAGCCTGTGTTATCAGCAGGCTCCCAAGACATCACTGTGTGTCCTAAGCCCAGGCTCTGACCTGGAGAGCCCAGCAAACGGCCCCATGATCCACGGCAGGCCCAGTTACTTCCCTTGTGATGCCCGACTGTCCCTGAGTGGATACTCACTGGGCCCTGTGACAGTGACCTGGGGGCTGCCCCCATGAGGTGGGACCTGCTCGGCCTTCCCCAGGGTGTCTTGTGCTGTGCTTGGGAAGAGCCGGGAGATGGGGGTGGGTGGGTTGCTCGTGCTGTGGCCAAGATCTGTCACCAGGATGCTGCTGTGGAACTCCGGGACCCCAGGAGCCTGCAGTGACATGGGAGAGAGGTCACCCCCGACCACTGATGCACAGCAGGGCAGGACACCGGTCATCTCAGGTGAGGGCCGCCCAAGAGCAAGCTGCTCCAGGATGATAAGGACACCAGGGGTCTGTCCAGGGCCCTCCTCACCCTGGCGATGGCGGCAGGTGCGATGACCACGTTGGACTGGGACACCGTGGAGGCCAACATCCCTTCTCTCTTCAGAGGCCCTGATGTCATGATCACCGCTTGTGGCTGGCCTGAAAAGGGAGCTGCCAGGACAAGGGGGCTCAGCTGCAGCCCTGGACCACAGTGCCTGGCCCGCCCTGCTGAGGCCGCCTCTCTGCCAGTGAGACAGCTTGTTCCCAATCGCAGGGGATAGGAAGACAAAGCCATCAAGGCACCTAAAACTTTGTGTAATTTTTTGAAGGAGACATGTTATAGACCCAGGAAAGAGATGGCCAGGACTACGTGTTTTAACATTGTAGGCTATGACTAACTTTAAAAAAAGGTAGAGAGCAGAGGGTAGGTGTGGTGGCTCACACCTGTAATCACAGCACTTTAGGAAGCCAAGGTGGGCAGATCGCCTGAGGTCAGGAGTTTGAGCCTGGCCAACATGGTGAAACCCCGTCTTTATTAAAAATACAAAAATTAGCCAGGTATGGTGGTGCATGCCTGTAATCCCAGCTACTCAGGAGGCTGAGGCAGGAGAATCGCTTCAACCTAGGAGGGGAGGTTGCAGTGAGCCAGGACTGCACTCCAGCCTGAGCAACCGAGTGAGATTCTGTTTTAAAGAAAAAAAAAAAAAAAACAAAAAACAAAAGATAGAGAATAGAAAACAGAATAGATCATACACATGTATTATTTCATGACACTTTTCATTTGTGTGTGTGTGCATTGTGTGCACGCACACACGTGTGGGCACCAGGGTGGTGGTAGTCACAAGTTTGAAAGCCTCTGGGACAGGAAAACATCCCTCTGGGTTGGGGGAGTCCCACACTGAGTCCTCCACCTGGCTCACCTGGGGCGATGCAGGCGTTCTTCAACACCAAGGACACCGGCTCTGGTTTGGGAGCAGGCACTATTTTGTGAGGCTGCTTAGGCCTTCCCCCCGTCAAGGATACAGGTTTGGGGTGCACAAAAGTTAACCGAGGCTGGGGAGGCCGGGTGACAGGAGACAGTGTCAGGCCACAGGGGTTCACTGATGAGGCAGGGTGATGGGTGGTGATGATGAGGCCCTGACTCTGGCTGAAGGTGGTGGCGGAGGCATCATGGGTGAGGGTGGCGGAGGCTGTGTGGGTGATGACAGACGGCGGTTTGCTGACTCCAACAAACTTCTGTGGCTGCTGGAAGGCAGGTGGAGCTGGAGGGTTCAGGGCCGTGGCTGGAGGAGGAACTATCGGTAACATGGGGGACACAGGTGGCGGGGCGGGGCTGGGGGACAACAGGGGCATGGTGAAGACGGGCAGGAAGGGCTGCGGGACACTCAGAGGCGGCTCTGAGGGACCGAAGTCTGTGGGCTGGATAAACGGGTCCTCAGTCCGGGAAGCGCGCTCACAGCCCTGCCCATCCACAGGATCCAGGGATGGGGCAGCATGGGGCTCAATGAGGCTGTCAGGAAGGCTCACAGTGGGGAGGGTGGTGGTCGGCAGGATGCTCTCCTGAAAAAGGAACAGAGGAGATTGGAAGCAACGCTGGTTCAGACAAGTCCTTTCCACAGCTGCACACTGCCAAGTCCAACGAGACAGGCTGGGTGCTGGGACAGAGGGACAAAGGCCATGTCTCCATGCCCGTGGCTGCTAATCTGAGGACACCGATCTGTGTTTTCCTGTGTAGTTGTGGGGGTCTTGTTTCCATTAAAAACTAAATACTCAGTCCTCAGACCAGGCAGTGGCCCTGGCACAGCTGGTTAGCAGCCTAAGAATATCTTGTTTCCAGAGTCCAGCAGAGTCTTCCCCGTCTCTGCCATCTTCTATTACTGAGCAGAGGCAGCCTGGACTGTAGCTGCTTGGGGCTCCCCAAAAAGTTTGATGTGTCGGCTCTTCGTGAGGTCACCTCTTGCTAAATGGGAAAAGCTATGAGGAATCAGTGGTTCAGATCCCAGTCTCTGCAGCAGAAATTCTTCCCGGAGCAGGTTATTACCAGTGTCTAACTGGTCATGGGCATAATCATGAGGGATCCATAAGGACAAAGAATGGGTTCCTAACTCAGCTCTGCAGCCCAAGCACTTGTGACCAACTTTTTTGTTTGCTTAGTAAAATGTGAAAGAAATATACAGATGTTATTTTTATTAGTAATCCATGTTTTTCTTCTCTGTCTAGCTAATTCTGTCTTAATTAGCCGGAGCAGAGCTAGCTGCACATAGGTTACCTGGCACCTCAGGGAGGAGCACACCTGGACCAACAGGGTCTCTCGCACCTCATGGGTGCTGAAGGATGCCGTCAACAGGGCTGGAATTGTGCCTCTGCACATCAGCGCTGGTCTGGCACTGTTTGGTGCTTTGCTGGTGACTGTGTGGCTGTGTCATTAGCCTTGCTCTGGCAGCAAAGCTTTGATGAGCAGCCCTGTGCCTGCCGGTCCCTTCCCCAACCCATTCCCCAGCTTCCTCTACCTGTGCAGGTGGGTTGTTGGGATCTGGTACAGGTGCTGAGGCAGATGCAGGTAGCATGGAGCCAAAAATGGAACGGCTAGAAGAGAAGAGGTCTGAAAAACAAAGGGGCTCGTGAGCTCAGTGTGCCCAGCATTTGCTGGAATCAAACAGGGCCAGGCATAGTGGCTCATGCCTATATTCCCAACACTTTGGGAGGCTTAAGTGGGATCATCACTCACTTGAGATTAAGAGTTCAAGACCAGGCTGGGAACAAAGTGAGATCTCATCAGTACAAAAAAAAAAAAAGCCGGCCAGGAGTGGTGGCTGACACCTGTAATCCCAGCACTGTGGGAGGCCAAGGCGGGTGGATCATGAGGTCAAGAGATCAAGACCACCCCTGCCAACATGGTGAAACCCCATCTCTACTAAAAATACAAAAATTAGCTGGGTGTGGTAGCACACACCTGTAGTCCCAGCTACTTGGGAGACTGAGGCAGGAGAATTGCTTGAACCCAGGGAGTCAGAGGTTGCAGTGAGCCGAGATCGCACCACTGCACTCCAGCCTGGTGACAGAGCAAGACTCCGTCTTAGGGGGGATAAAAAAAAGCCAGGTATGATGGTGCACACCAGTGGTCCCAACTACACAGGAGGCTGAGGCAGGAAGATCGCTGAAGCCCAGGAGATTGAGGGTGCAGTGAGCTGTGTTCGTGCCACTGCATTCCAGCCTGGGCTATAGAGCAAGACTCTGTCTCAAAATAACAAAGACTAAAACGGGCTGGGTGTGGTGGCTTACACCTGTAATCCCAGCACTTTGGGAAGCAGAGGCAGGAGGATCACCTGGACAACACAGGAGACCCCATCTTTATAAAAAATGAAGAAATAAACTAGGTGTGGTGGTACATGCCCCTGGTGCCAGATACTCAGGAGGTTGAATTGTGAGGATCACTTGAGCCTGGGAGTTCAAGGCTACAGTGAACCATGACTGAGGCACTGCTCTCCAGCCTGGGTGACACAGCAAGACCCTGTCTCTAAAAACAAAAGACTCAAACAAACCAAGGACTAAACCCCTAAACCCAACATGGCCGAGGGGGATGCCATGGCCAGAGGGTATTACCCTCAGAGACATCTTTCTTTCTGTAGAAAGGGGACTCTGGTTGGAACGACACATGCTGGCAACTATCTTGGGCTCTGAAACACTCCCAGGCCTGGGATTTCTGCTGTTCTCACATGGCAGGGGCTCAAAGACCCATCTAACTGCAGGGCCTTGGCAGAGAACTGGCTGTGTCATCATCGCCCTCTGCTGCTTCGAGGGAGAACTGCTTACAGTCATGGCTAAACCCAGGGCCAATTTCCTTGGAGAACAATGTCCCAGAAAAACTTTCCAGACCTTGCAGTTACTACAAAGAACAGTTCAGTTTAAAAATTCTGTGCCTGTCCCCTTGTCCATTCTACCAAGTCTTGCTCTTAAAGGAAGGCAGCGATCTGCTCCGTGCTGGGCCCGGAGAGGCAGGCAGCCGCGCGCTCAGCCTCTGGTTCTCACCCTGGAAAGGCTCGAAGGTGTCCATGAAGTCCAGGTTAGGCTGCAGAGGCATCAGCCCTGGCTGGATCATGTCTGCATTTCCCAGATGTGCTGCAGGAACCACAGAGAAGAGGAACCATTTTGTCTTCTCAGACAATGATGTAAGAATGGAAGAAAGGCCTAAAACAGACCTTCCAGGCCCTGCTCACATTCTAGAGTTTTCCAAGGAGCTGGCTGGGATTTCTACATTCTCATGGGTTTGTGGCCATTCTGCACCCTCAAAAGGCAGGAAAGTAAGTTTTTGCCAGGAAGGTAAAATTGAGTATCAGGGAATGGACACCCCCAGGAAGCTGTGAAGAGCTGAGTAGAGAACAGAGACCTCCTCCAATATTGTTCTAATTTTCAATCTTTGTGTTCTTCCCTGAGGAGTTAACTGAAGACTGAACGTCACTGAGGTGAGCGGTCACACCCAGGAGTGCTTCCGACTTTCTTTAGCATGAGTCACGGCCTGGCCACCTCAGCCTAGGCATGGCACATGTCCCCCGTGAAGGCAAGAGTACTGAAATGTGCCAGTGGCTCAGACCAGACCCTGCTGCTGTCTTCCCACCATGGTGCCACGGGAATGGCAGCTGCCCAGTAGGCCCACTCTGCAGACCCCACCCACTCAGTATGTGCAGCCTGGATGTTAAATGAGGCCAGCTATCCTTCCCTTCCTTACTGCCTGCCCCCAACTGTGACACACAGCAGCTCAGAGATAGCCCTGAAGGAAGCCTGGCCCAGAGCAGGCTGGCAGAGAAGGAAGCAGCTGGCTGTTCAAAGCCCAAGGCCCTGGATTGGGTTACCTATTTCCCGGGGATTGGGCCAGGCCACTGGCTGGTGTGAAGACAGCGTGGAGAAGAGGGTGTCGCTGAATTCTGACATGAGCATGTCTGTGTCCAGCAGGGGGTCCTCCTCCATGGGGACAGGGGTCTTCCATCCATCCCTGTGCTTGTGCCAGTACAGCATGTCATAGTCCTAACACAACACCAACACAGAGAAGGAAGCGTCAAAGAATAACAGTGGGACACAGAATTCCCATACCTGTCACCTGGGAAATTCGTCACAGGGGCTGCTCCACAAAAGTGAGGCACCAGGGTGAAGGCATTCAGAGAGTGGCTCCCTCCAGCTCACCCACGAGAGAGAGCTGGACTGCTTCTGAGCCATTCCTAAGACCCCAGTGAAGGCTCATGGCCTGCCACCTTCTGCAGGGCTCCCAGTGGGCCACTAAAGTGCCTGCTGTCTCATGTCACAGTGGGAGTCCTCAGAGCTTCCAGGCTCACTCACCTGGGCCAAGCTGGAGAGGTCCTCATCCTTGTGCTGCTGTAGCTGTGGGCAAAGGGACAGAACAGGGTGGTCACCAGGGGCTCTAGAATATACAGAACTCTCAGGGAGGCAGGTAGGGAGAAGAGTACTGCTCATGTCACCCCAGCTGATGCCTACACAAAGGAGACTCCCACCCAGGGCACAGATGGGGAAACTTGAGAGCAAAAACAACATGACCTAGGCAGGCCATCGTCTGGGCTAGTCTGGCATGCTGGGCCCTAGATGTACTTCTTGACGCACCATGCCCAGGTGGCGCAGCTGTGGAGTCTACAGTCTCGGCCAGGGCTCTGAACTTGGGCTCTGCCCCTCCCTCCCTCAGATGGCTGCCTGAACACCCTAGCCGGATACCCTTTTCTTGAAGTAGGTTCTCCACTTGTGATACTCCCGGATCACAATCTCGATGCGGCTCTTCCAGTACTTCCCTTCTGTGGTGATGGCCTGAGGGACAGAGGGCAGAGTGAAAAGAGGGTGCTCTGCTTGATTAGTAAAGCTTAGCTGGTGTAACTGTCTGGCACTATGATCAGGCCTCAGGCAATCCAGCTGGAAATCCCACAGTGGCTACCATGTCACTCGGAAAGCAAATCCCACTTCTGTGCTATACAGGAGGTCCTCTAGCTAATAATGAGCTTTCATTTCAAGACCTAAGGTAGCCAAAGGCCTTGGGGACACGGTCCTGAGGCTCTGCCCAGGAGCATGGGGTGAGAGCAGAATGCTCCAACAGGGGAAGAAGCAGGGAAATGCTGTGGAAACTCCCAAGCCCCCCACAAATGCCCCTTCCCCGAAGCCTCTGCCACATTCACAGGGCAAAAATGAACAGTCAATTCCAGGAAGTTTCAGATGGAATGCGCCCTCCAGGGGCCTCGCATCCAACCTTCACATGCTGCCAGCGTGAACGCCTTGCATGACAGCCTTCCAGCTCTAGAGCTAAGGAGCACCCCCCGTGCCTGGGCCTGCCTCACTTTCCGATCTCAAGGCCTGAATCGCCTCACCTATGAACACTTCAGTGTGTGTCCTCGACAGTGAAGATGTTTTGTTATAAAGAACTGATTACAATATTGCCATACCCAACAAAATGATATCCCTTGATACTATCTAATACCAGATTACACCTGACTGTCTCACAGCTGTCTTTCATTAGCTTACCTTTTAAATTTCACCTTTATTGTAACAGTGAGACATGCCTGGACAACATGAAAGCAACGTGGAAGAATATGCGGTGAAGAAAACATCATCCCCTCGCCTGGCAGCCCTAATCCTATCCCCAGAGGCTCCTGCTATTAAGAGACTTCTGTATATTCTTCTAGACACTTCCTGTGCATGTATAATCATACATAGACAAACACTTTAAAAATTACCAGAAAGACATTAACCCTCTCTGTCCTCGAGCTGGCCCTTCTGAGAAGGGGTAGGCTCTGGCAGCCTGGGGTTGCCAGAGGCCACCAAGTGCCAGGCCTGGCCCCCAGGCCATGGATGGCACAGGGCAGGCCCAGGGCTCCCTTCCACAGCCTCTCTTGCAGGACTAGCCTGCTGTGAGCCGCTCCTGGTGAGGTGCCAGTGTGTTTCCTCTCTCAGCCACCCTGGGTCACCGCCAAGTACCTCTGGCCGGCGGTGCTCGTCTACATCCACAGAGCCATCCAGGGGCGTCACAAAGTGGCACACAGGATTCTTGCGCTTCTCCAGATCTGAGAAGAGAGAGGGTGAGAGTCATTACCATGATCCAAACCCGAGGGAGCGCCGTCTTGTCTGCTGCGCCCCTCCCCTAGTGCAGACAAATTCCCAGGTACCCTTTCCTTCTCCTTCCCTTCGAAAAGGCGATTTCAGGGGAATAAAGGAGTCCAGGTGAAAGGGGAGGAATCTGTCAATAACCCCTCAGCCAGAAAAGCAGCATGGCTTCTCAGAGAAAGACCAGCCCAACACAAGCCTGCCCCAGCACACTCATTTCCCGGAGAAGCTGCCAGGTCCATAGCACCCAGGTTGGAGAGAGACGGCCCGTGCCCGAGTCTTCCTAGACTTGCTCCCCGACTCTCAGATGTCACCCCTTAAATGTCCACTTCCCTAGGACTCGGCTTGGGTTTCTTGTCGGCAGAGACTAAACTTCTGTTAGAAACTTGGCTTGGGTTTCCTGTCAGCAGAGACTCTGGCCCCTGGGTGCCCAGGCCTCCAGGGCATGGAGCCTTGACTGCCATGGGCGCCCAGGCTGGGTGGCACTTACACTGCATGTACCAGGCCCGCCAGATGGCATTATTGAGCCGGATCTTGTCTCTCCACTGGAGCTTCAGGCCCTTGAAATTCTTCCACTTTGGAGACACCAACTTCCCACTGAAAGGCAAAGCAAAGTGGAGAGACTCAGTGGTTCCTCTGAAAACGAAATGAAATATAAAAGTGCTACCCAATCATTCCAGGACCGAACTCCTGACTGATCCACTCCCAGCCACAGGTCGGGCTTCAAGGAATTCAGGTCACTGGGGGATTTCTACAGAGTGATACATGGGGCAGGGAGTGGCAGGGACGCTGTCAGGGTTCAGAGGACAGGACTGGCCATGGGGTGTAGCCATTGGTGCGGGCAACAGCATATGGGGTTCACTATAGTCTCTGTCTACTTTAGCATATGCTACACGTTTTCCATAACTAAAAATTAAAAAGAAATCTGTTGACCACAGAGTGAAAACCAGGTTCCTTTGACCTGCTTTGCCACCAGCCCCCGTGAGGCATCATTCACAATCCAAGCACCTGAGTATCCTGCTGGCCTGAGCTGCTGCAGGGCAGGGCCCTTCCTGCCTCCCAGAGCCTCTGACATGGTTCTCAATCTTGATGTCCCTCCACTTGGCCACCTCCTCATCCCTCAAGATGCTGCCCCCACATCATCTCCTCTGAGCTGACCTGGCCTATCCCAGGCTGCACCGATTCCTTCAGGGTCTCTCTGCTCTCCGCTTCAGGACAGTCTCACGGGAGCACTTCTGTAGCAGTGTCTGCACACATGAACCTTCCCCTGTGGACAGTGCAGCTTCTCTAGGGAGGACCATTAGGTGGCCTGGCACACAGTAGGGGCTCAATTGACAATTCTTCATTAAATAAGTCAAGAGCACTTGGAAACCAGCCTCCCAGTGGCACAGCCATCTTGGGCAGCTCAGTTTTCCAAGTGCTAGGCCAGGAACCGTCTCTGGGCAGTGGCATAGGGTTTCTCTTTTTCAGATGGCTTGAGATGGGCAAGGCACTATTTCTGGCCCCTACTACAGGGGGGCTGAGGAGGCTTTGTCTGACCACAGGCCACAGCCCTGCCCCTTCTCCAGTCCCACTCAGAAAGGCCACGTGGCAAACCTAGATCTGCCAATAATAGCTGCAGACTTCACAGGAAGCGCCTGAGCAACAAACATTCCGTGAAGCTGGAACCTGCTCTGGAAGGCAGACGCCCCTGGCTATGACCCTGGCAGGACCCTCACGCCTATCCCCACCCAACCCAGCAAGGAGCCCAGGTTCTGGGCAATACAAGCCAGAAGGTTATGTCACCCCCAGAAAAATCCTCTTAGCACACGAGAGACATGCAGAGAGCAGCAGCCTCCGCCCAACAGGTTGGGCACTCAGAGCTGTCACACGTCTTCTTCCTTCCTTCTCTCCCCAATTCAAAGGCTTGTCTAACCTACCTCTATGCTGATGGCCTGGCCTCACTGGTGGTACATCAGGCAGCTGCAACATCAGAGAGCCACAGCTGTGTCATGGGTACAAGCAGAATGACACACTCTCCTCCAGAGTGTGTTAATAAGGACTAAATGAGAGCATACTTGTGTATGGTAAGATACACACACACATACATGCTTAGACACACACACAACTGGTAAACCCTAAAGCAAACACAAAGATATTAATAACCATCTTGATGATCTTCAGTTATTACTGAAAGGCATAATTTTTTTTTTTTTGAGATGGAGTCTCACTCTGTTGCCCAGCCTGGAGTGCAGATGCACGATCTCGGCTCACTGCAACCTCCACTTCCTGGGTTCAAATGATTCACCAGCCTCAGACACTTGAGTAGCTGGGACTACAGCCATAAGCCACCATGTCCACCTAATTTTTTTTGTTTTTGAGATGGAGTTTCGCTCCTGTTGCTGAGGCTGGAATGCAATGGCACAATCTCGGCTCACTGCAACCTCTGCCTCCCAGGTTCAAGTGATTCTCCTGCCTCAGCCTCCCAAGTAGCTGAGATTACAGGAATGCGCCACCACACCTGACTAATTTTGTATTTTTAGTAGAGACGGGGTTTCACCATGCTGGTCAGGACGGTCTCAAACTCCTGACCTCAGGTGATCCACTCACCTGGGCCTCCCAAAGTGCTGGGGTTACAGGTGTGAGCCACTGTGCCCAGCCTAATTTTTGTATTTTTAGTAGAGATGGGGTTTCACCATGTTGGCCAGGCTGGTCTTAAACGCCTAACCTCAAGTGATCCTTCCACCTCCACCTCCCAAAGTGCTGGGATTACAGGTGTGAGCCGCCATGCTCAGCCGGGTATGATGTTTTTAACCCCTGCCCTGACTTCAAAAGCCCTTTCTCTTACATTTGCCATATTGCTATGTGGTTCCTCTTCCTCCACAAGTGGAAAAGGTGACACCTGTGCCCCCTGCCAACACCAGGAACAGACCTGGGCAGAGGTCGGCCCCAAGTGCCAGGCCAGCCCTGAGGGTGGGATCCATGTAGCTGCAGAAGCCTCACCTGCTCTGCGCTGTGAAGAGCTGAAGACTGAGGTCGGGGGACGGGTGAGGCGGTGAGGTCCCCCTCATGTAGCACGCCCTTGGCGGAGGCACACGACATGCCTGCAAGCTGAGTGTCCTGAAGGGCAGACAGCTGTAGGCACCAGGTGGATAACCAACCTGGCCAGAGCAGCCAGGGGAGGTTTTCTGGAGGAAGTGGCATTTAAGCAAAGGCCTATGGAAAAGGTACACCAGCTCAGCAGAGAGGAGGCAAGGCCCACGCAGTTCCTTCTGCCTGGCCTGTGGTGGCACCAGTGAGCAGGAACTCAGCCTGATCCAGGCAGTGAAAAGCCCTCAATGTATGAGCCAGGTGTGGTGGCACCTGCCTGTAGTCCCAGCTACTGGGTAGACTAAGGCAGGAGGATTGCTTGAGCCCAGGTGTTTGAAGCTGCAGTGAACCACGATAGCACCGATGCACTCCAGCCTAAGTGAAGGAGCAAGACTCTGTCTCCAAAAAAAAAGGGCAACCAAAAAGGGTGTCACACCAACAGCTTCGATCCCATGCAATGAGGGGAGTGGCAAGACGCAGGGAAATTTAGCCTTACAGGCTAGAAACCTCAAGGTTTAGTTTGAGGGTCCCCTCTTCTTCCTCTCCGTGAGCTGAAATGTTTCCCTTTTCTTTGGTGTTTACGTCCAACAGTCAGACTTCAGCAGCAAGACAAAGACCAGAACTCCCAAATGGGATCACCCCTCCACCCCGGGTTTCTGTAGTATCTCCATGGCCAACAGGTGGTGCTCAACCAACACACAGAAGGGCGTCCAAATCAAAACCCAAACTTAGACCAGCCACAGCCAGAAAGGGTCGCCTGGCACCTCCAGACCACCCCCATGCCAATTTCAAGTCAAGATCTGAGGAGGCAATGCACGCAGTTCTATGATGCCTCAGAAGGTGGCGAGGGACAATGAATGCTTCAGGTGTTACAAAGGAAGGGATGCCCTGGACAACTCATGCCCAGAAACGCCGGGCAGGCTTGTGTAGATTTCTCTCCTGATGGGTCTGGCAGAACTGTTAGGCTGTGCACTGTCAATCTTCAAAGGAGGGGAGAGGACAGACATCCACGGGGACCCTTCTTCACAAGGTACTCAGAACAACTGTTCTAAAAGTCCCACAAGAGGCCAGGTGCAACAGCTCAAGCCTTGTAATTAATCCCAGTACTTTGGAAGGCTGAGGTGGTAGGATCACTTGAGCCCAGGAGTTCCAGACCAGCCTGGACAACACAGCAAGACAAAAGAAAGAAAGAAGAAAGATGGGGGATGGGATGGGATGGGAACCAGGAAGGAGGCAGACAAAGTCGGCCAGGCTCAGTGGCTCACGCCTGTAATCTCAGCACTTTGGGAGGTCAAGGCGGGCGACACAAGGTCAGGAGTTAGACCAGCCTGAACACCATGGTGAAACCCTGTCTCTGCTAAAAATACACCGGGTACGGTGGTGGGCACCTGTAATCCCAGCTACTCAGGAGGCTGAGGCAGGAGAATCACTTTAACCTGGGAGGCGGAGGTTGCAGTGAGCGGAGATTGCGCCACTGCACTCTAGCCTGGGTGACAGAGCAAGGCTCTGTCTCAAAAAGAAAAGAGAAAATAGCAGGGAGTGGTGGCCTGTGCCTTTGGACGCAACGTGTGTAGTTACTAAATGAGTTATTAAATGAATGCTAAAGTAGCCAAATACAGACCAAGTAGCCTGTGGTCCCGGCTACTTGGAAGGCTGAGCTGGGAGGATCCCTGGATTCCAGGAGTTGGAGAGGGCAGTGAGCTATCATGGCACCACCGCACCTCAGTGTGGGTGACAGAGACCCTGTCTAAAATTTTTCTTTAAAAAGCCCACAAGGGAGCCTGCCCTGGCAAAGCCCCCAGGGCAGCACCAGCAGAAAGTATCTGTGGTTGGGGGGACTTCTGCTCTCGCAACTCATGCCACCAGCTTAACATATTCCAGACAAAGGTGACTGGGCTGCCCCTGAGTCTAACTCAGGATTATGGTGGATTCTTTCTTAGAAGCAGACCAGAAACATGTTCTGACCATTTCTGTAAGACCACTGGCTTCCCCCAAGACCCACAATCCTCCTCTGGCCTCTGCCCCTTGAACCCTCCCCTGCCATCTCCCCATCAAAACAGTGAAGCCAGACTGCATTCACCCATTCGCTGGCCCTCTCCTCCCCCTCTGTGGGAAGACTGTTGCCTAGGGTCGCCAGCACAGGGCCTGGCACATGAGACGTGTTTTAAATATGGAGTTATTAAACGAACGCTAAATTTTCCATGAAGAACAATCTTGACACCGCCCTGCCACGGCCGCCCTTCCTAGAAGGCAGGTTCTTCGCAGGAAACAGGAAATTCACAGTACAACAAAGGTCTCTCTCAAAACTTTTCTTGGACGAAACTAGCAAACTATGAATTCCTCAGAGGTCTGGCAAAAGAGTGCTTTGAAATGGAAGGAAATTAAATTGCAAGCCTTGCACAGACCAAGCTGGAAGAACAGGGGCAGGCAGAGAGGGCAGGCAGGGCATGGCCGGGTCAGGGGTCCCTAATTTTGTTGGTTCCGGTTGGGACGAACTCCTGACTCATGCTCAGACCATTCTCTCCAAA